CCCCAAAACCCCAAAACCCCAAAACCCCAAAACCCCAAAACCCCATGTGAAAAATCTCTATAATAGTGATAAATCTAAGATAAATTCATTAACGAGTAATTCTTATTTTATTATTTCAAAATTTAAATTCGATCACCAATGGAAATAACCCTCAGATTTGGAGAACTTGGAAATCAAATCAAACTATAAGAAAAGCTAAAGCCCGAAGACAAGTAACTACCATTATTTATCTTATTATATCATTGTCTTTATAGATTTTCTAAATTAGTAGAATTGATTTCTACTGAGACAGGCATTCCAAAATCCTAACTCATTATAATTGACGAAAAAGGAGTTGATATCTCTACCATGTCTCCCGATTAAAACTTTGTTATCGACAAAAAAATGGCCTCATTAGTAATTAAAAGTTTTAAATCAATCATTTTAGACATACTTTATCTATGATGAACTTAAAACAGACCAGGATTTTCAGAGATTGCTAGAGGAGAATAAATCGAGAGAGGCTGATCTAAAAAATATTAGTAAATTTTGAGTGATTATAACACAATTTGTTTCATTAGGTATAAACAATGGTCTCATTGAATAAGACATACTAGAGCGGTATAACTTCAAGCCAATCTATGCTGCCTTCTCCTTCATTCAGGAATTAGACTTGACTTCGATTCAAAACTTTGAGTAGCAGTATTTTAATGACTACTCATTACTCAGGCAAGCATACAAGAAATTCAAGCATAGTATCTCCCAAGGATTCAAATTTTTAAAGGACATTGAATACTAGTCATAATCATTTGATTTAGTAAAGAAGAACATTTGCAAAACCTTCGATCATATGTATAACCAAAAGAATATTATAAGGACTTAGTTCGGTGAGAGGTACGAATAGAACAAGGAGATTTTAAAACTCTACGAGGAGGGTTTATCTGATCTTAAGAAGTATGAATTGCACCCTGCTTTAAGAAAAGATGGAAAAAAGATGTTGATTGATGTCTACTTTGAGGAGGCCTAGATGAATAAATGGAGAGATAATTGCATCAGAAGTAATCAGAGTGTTAGGTAAAAGTTTGAGAAGCTTGATAAGGACTTCTAACAAGCCAGGTAAAAAATTGCTGAAAAGCGTCAGGATAGTACTCAGCTACTTGATGATTCTAGACAAAAAGAATTAATGGGGAAAATTCAAGCTATTGTATAAGAAACTGAACCCCTAATTATGAGTATCATATCGACAGTGCTTGACGATTTAAAAGAGTTTCATAGATATTTAAATGAACTATGCAAGTCTGACCCACAGTCAGAGAAAGTTAAGCAAGCTCAGCTTTACCTTCAAAATGTGGATAATTTTAAGAAGAAAATTAGAGAGCATGAAAACTTAGCACAGCAAATGGAAGAACACTGCAAAATATTGGATAAATTAGTAGACTAAGTGAATACTTTAAGAATGAAAAATGCTCAGCAAATTGCACTGAACAATCAAAAAGATTCTTAGCTTAGAAAGACTCTCAAGTAGATTGGTGTTTCACATGATGTCTTAAGGATCATGTTTGACAGTATCGCAAGGCTTGAAAAGGACTTCTCATATCTGAAGCAGCCATCATAACTTCCAAGAGTCTATGAGAAAGCACTTATTGAGATATAAAGAAGAAGGAAGTTCAGGAAAACTGTCGACTCAGAAGCAGAGAGACTTCAGAAATTCATCCAAAGAGAGAAAGAATTCAGAAATGCCTTTCTAAATGAAACTGGGAGGTAATTACCGTCAGATTTTCTACCTCAATTGAAAGAACCAGCACCCTCCCTGAGATTGGAAGGTGGCACCAAGGACTATGATCTGCCAGAGATAGAAGATGGGGAGGTTGATGGTTTTGATGACAATCCGCTAATTTAGGATTCTCCAGCGATTAGAAATGACAAATAGTCAGATCCTGAAATCTAAAAGAAATATATCTCACTTCTGCAGGAAATGAATTTACTCAAGGAGGAGCATAAATCAAACATTAAAGACCTTCATGTGAAAATTGAACAATATGAATCTTCTATTCAAATGAAAGCACAGATCACAAAAGACACTCTAAATCAAATTAATCTTAAAGAATAAGATATTATGAAGCTGAGAGAAGAGAATGAGAAGTTGGTAAAAACTCTGAAGGATTAATCCCTTTAATATTCTAGCTCTTTAAAGTAAACAGAGGAGTAACTGGCTAGAAAGTCTAAGGAATTTGAGGCACTTTTAAAATCTAAGAATTGCAAGGGATGCTTTATCTGCACAGAAGATTGCAAAGAGAAGAGTGACCAGGTTTTAATTAAAGATCTAAACGATAAACTCATTGACAAATCCAAGTATACCTCACAGCTAGAGGAGTAGATCAGAAAAACTACTATACTTATGAACTAAGTTTGTCAGCACAATTTTAACTTCCTCAGATAAAAGACTCAAGACTTTTATAAAAACCAGGCAAAGAGTAAGCAATCCTATGAAAATAGAATCATGGAGATCGAAGAACAGCTCACCCTTGAGCAAAAGCGTTGCTAGGATTTGATTAAGTCAAGAGTCACAGTTCTAGAAGAGAAATATCTTAAGAGTTAGAGTAAAGAAATGGAGATAACGAAAAAATTCAAGGATTTGACAATCCAATATTAAACCTTAGAAAATGAATAAAAGTCTTACCTTTAAAAAATCAAAAGCTATTAATAGCAAATCAGCAAACTTTAAGGAGATAATACTAAGCTTTCAAATGATAAGAGATAATCTGAGGACGAAAATAGAAAATTATAGCAAGCTATACAATCTAAGGGTAATGAAGATGCCTCGAGAAATAAGGAAATTTAAAAACTCTTAGATGAAAGGAATAAGTTGGAGGATCAGTTTAAAAAGGAAACTTCATCGCTTAGTTAACAACTTAAGTAATAGAGAGAGTAATATGAAGATTAACTGATGGAGAAACTGAGTCATATTAAGAGAATTACCATGCAGAAAGATTAATTATAAGAGGAGAAGTAGAAATTGGAGGAGAAATTCAAGAAAGACTCTTAAACCTTAACTAAGCAGCTCAACGAATTAAGGGAGTCCTCTGAAAAAGAAATCAGAGAAAAAAATGAAAAAATCTTAAACTTGAATAATATGATGAATGAGCATCTTGATAAGTAATAGGAATTTATTGAGGGTAGTAAAGTAAATACAGATCAGTATGATAAACTCAAAAAAGATCTCTCTATGAAATCAAAAGACCTTACTGAAGTTACCTCTGTTCTTGCTAAGAGAGACAAAGAAATATAGCAATAGAAACAGGAGATGGAGAAATTAAGATAAGAAATCAAGAGACTTAATGATTAGCTTAACTAGTCTTAGTAAAGCTAATAGCAATAAATTGCTTTGTCTAATGAAACTGCAAATTCATAAAATGAGATTGAAAAGATGAAAGATCATATCAAGAATCTTGAAACACACTACCAAAAGTAAACCATGAGAACTAAGGACAGCGAGAGTACCCTTCAAAGAATAAAGGAATTCACTTGCATGTCTTTTAACATTATGAACAATGAAAGTTGGGAGAATAATCTCACTAAGTTAATCTATGCTAATAGTTAGGAAAGCATTAACTTCATGACTGCTATGGAGGGGGTTAGAGTATTATTCATGCCACACTCACCAGGAGTATATATCGCTCTTGTACTTAAGAACTTCCAAGACATTATCTAGGACTAAGTCTTAAAGGAGAAAGATATGAACTCTTTAATGGAGCAAAGCTCGATAAAGAACAGTTAACATGTGCCACAGGTTAAGAGACTTAACATCAAGAATAATTTATTCCTTGATATTGAGTCAATGTCCAAGAACTTGCAGACAATCCTTAAGTAAGTCATATACTTTTTATTTAGTAATTCTATAGTAACTATCAGATGATTGTTATTGCTAAGATAAAGGGTGTTTCTTAGCATAAGACTACTGAGTCCTATAATCCATATGGATTGGAAGGCTAGGAAACATTCTTCCAGTGCTAGATTGAGAAGCTTGAACATATCGTAGGGTTTGAGAGTGATGACTATTCTTTCACTGACTATGTTTGCAAATGATATATGAAAAGAGCATTTGTTTCTTTATTAATTCAACTTTAATCTTTCAAACTATCAATTATCTCATTTGTCTGGGGTTTTGGGGTTTTGGGG